GGCATGAAGTGAAATTTCTATTCAATTAGATTTAATGAAAAAAAAAATTCTTATTAGATCAATATATATTAATAATTTAGGAATTTTACATATTTTTGACTTAATTTAAACAGTAATTACAGTTTTCTATAAAATCTGAATTAGAACAAAACAGATAAATTCAGCTTTGTTTTAATTTAAAAAAACTTAGCAGATGAAAACTGGGATCCTATCTCAATACCACTGAAGCTATCACCTTATTGTTTTTAAATAATTAGTAAAACATAATTTGTAAAGAAAAAAAATTAAATAGATCCAAAGGACCTATCAGTAACCATGTCTATTCCAGCGCATCATAAGAATTTCTTTGAGTATTATGTCTTCAGTGCAGGGGCCATAACAGGGGCCGGGACCTGATCTACAGGGGCACTGGCCCCCACTGGCCCCTGTCTAGAACCGCGCATGATCCTACCCATCTATATCATACGCATATTCACCCTCTCTATAATCAAATTCTATGAAATAATTCGTACTAAATATATAAATGTATCTTTTCCTTAATACATTCAAACTCTCTCGTCATATATCTTCTCTCCATTTTTTCCAGTATAACATGTTCTATTATTTCATATTTTCCACAGGAATCACACTTGCCAGTAGTTTGCTTTTGAATTTTGAAAAGTGTTTCATTAAGTCCTGTATGTCCAAATCTTAACCTTGTTATTAATCTCTCCTCCTTCTCGCATTTCTTCTTTTTCTAACTATCTTATGAATTTTATAAAACCACCTTCCTGTTTTTTCTTCATCCCACCTTTTTATTTTGCCATTTTTCCATCAGTTTTTCTTTAATAATACCGTTTCCTTCTGATTTGCTTGTTTTAAATGTAAACTAACAGGATTTTGAACTGCCCTCTTTGCCATTATATCTGCCCTATCGTTTCCTTCTACTCCAATATGTGCTGAAAGCCACACAAATATAACTATCAAACCTATATTTTTTATTCTGAATAATGTATGATTATTATGAATATTTCTAATAGAATGTCCATCCTACTATATGACTGATTATATTTTATATGTAATAATGCAGAGCTTGAATCTGAACAAATGAATGTTTTTAATGGTTTTATATCTTCTACCCATTGTAAAGCTAATAATATTCCCAAGATTTCCCCTGTTTATCTTGATAATCCATCTGAAATTCCTTTACCTGTTTTTATATTGAATTCTAGTATTAGAAAAGCTATTCCTATTTTCCATGTTCTTTTTGATGCATTTGTATAAATTTGAATAATACTTGTCTAAATGTAACTATACTAAATTAATATCTACCATGTGCAATTTATCTAGTTTCTTTTCCATTAGTGACAGATCTACTATTGCTTCTGGTAGAATCCATGGTGGTATAACTGATATTGCTTTTCTCTGAGTGATTTCTAAATTGGTCATTTTAAATTCTTTTATTTTTTTTTCAACTGTTCATCCAAAACTCCTCATTTCTTTCCTTTTTTTCCCCCCAAAAATGGATTTAAAATTTCCCAAGTCGGATAATCAGAGTTATTACCTTTTAGATTTAACTGATAATTTATATCTAGTTTTGTTCTTCTAAAATCTAACAGCATTTCTCATTTTCTTGTTGCGCTTACTGCCATCTATTGGATCCTAATATCTATCCCTCAAATTCTCATAATGATCCCAGTATTTAAAATAAAACCAATCATCTTTTTCTTCCCATCAAAACTATTTAACTTTTCAACCACATTCTCAAATTTCAATCCCCCCTTAAAACCTTATTCTGTTTTTAATGATCTTCTTTGATTTATATATTTACTACAACTAAAAAAAACATGTTCCATTGTTTGTACATTATCACACCAACTAACCGCAGTGAAGTTAGTTTCAAGTTGGATATTCGATATTCGCGCTCCGCGGGCCAAGCGGTGTTTAGCTCGCGGCTGAGCCGATTTATGTACGCTAATGTCGGCCAGCCGTTCACCACCGCTCCGTTCCCAAGCGCTCGGTGCTTCACTTAGGGACCGTCAACAAATTTCCGAACCAAACAGTGCTGACATAAAAATATTAATAAATGTCTTTCCTTGTGACCAACTGACATATAAAGTGCTAATTCATGCGTTTACATTACTGTACATAAATTTAATTTTATTGAATTTTAAAGCTATATTTAATACTAAATTTAAATATTAAATAATATATTTTCTTCAATAGCTCCCAGGTCATGTGACCTGTTGACCCAAAATCACTTTGAAATTGTTCTACTAGCCTCTGTAGATGAGGCACACTCATTTGTTTTTCATTTTAACTGATCTTTTATTTTTTAAGCAATTTTTTTTTGTAAAATTGAGTATTTTTCGTCAATAGCTCCCAGGTCATGTGACCTGTTGACCCAAAATCACTTGGAAATTGTTCTACTAGTCTCTGTAGATGAGACAAACTCATTTGTTTTTCATTTTAACTGATCTTTTATTTTTTAAGCAATTTTTTTTAGTAAAATTGAGTATTTTTCGTCAATAGCTCCCAGGTCATGTGACCTGTTGACCCAAAATCACTTGGAAATTGTTCTACTAGTCTTTGTAGATGAGGCACACTCATTGGATTTTCATTCTAACACTTTTTTATTTTTAAGCAAATTTTTTTGTAAAATCGGGTATTTATCGTCAATGGCTCCCAGGTCATGTGACCAGTTGACCCAAAATTACTTTGAAATTGTTCTACTAGTCTGAGTAAAAAGGGCACACTCATTTCATTTTTGCTTTAACATATTTTTCATTTTATAGGAATTTGTTTCGTAAAAATTGAGTTTTTTCGTCAATAGTTTCCTAGTTTGAAATTGTTCCACTAGTCTGAGTCAAAACATTTTAACATATTTTAACATATTTTCATTTTAACAGATTTTCCTCTTCTTCTTCTTTTCTTTAATGGTGGATTGCAAGTAAATTTAAGGTGCATACCGCCACCTACTGTACATGAGTGTATAGTAACATTACTTACATCTATTAAATTATAGTTTTTATTTTGTATTCTGAAGATGAATAAATAATACGTTCCTTAAACTGTAAATATTCTTTATATTTCCTTGATTTCCCAATATTCCTGTAAGACTCCATTCTAATTTTTTTCCTTTCCCAAGTTTTACAGATCATCAGTACGCGTTCTACATTTTCTTTTTCTCCACATCCTTCACATTTATCATTATATTTCCTCCCTATTAAATATAAATTGTCATTTAAATAGATATAATCCACTCTTAAACTCATCATTATTACTTTTTCCCTTTTGTTTTTCATCGTTAATATTTCTATTTAATACTGACTTCTGTACTTTATATAATCCTCTTCATTTGTCATCTTCATTCCACCTTTTTTGTTGCCATTTTTCCATTTCTTCACTCTTAATAAGTGATTTATCTTCCCCCTTTCCCCCAAAAGGAATTATAACGGGTATTGTTCCCCCTAAATCCAGTTTTGCTAATACGTCTGCCTTTTCATTGCCTTTTACACCTTCATGTGCTGGAACCCAATATAACCAAATACCAATGCCACATCTGTATAATCTAAACAGACTGTGCTGAATTTTTTATACAAAACAAAAACTCAGTATCGAGTGAAAATAAAAGAAAACAAAAAACAAAAATGAGAATTAGACAGGCGAAATAACTATAGTTAAAGACCCTTTTAAAACACTAATAAAACACTTCTGGAAAATCTAAGTCTGCCGATCTATCAAAACATCTGCATGGTACCATGGTACCCAGAGTCGGAACTTGTATGTTTGTTTTTTTAATTCAAAATAGTTGTTTTGCGACCAAGGCAATAGGATTATAATGCAAATGCAAACGCCATGTTTTTTCATGCAAAAAAGTCTTTGTCATGAAGCAATTCTTGGAAATAAAAAAAAAACTAAAGTCGTCACTGGTCAAGGTTTGAAAAGGCACAACCCTTTTTTATTCCTTCTAAGTAGAAGTTTATCAATTTAAGATGCAACACAGACGTTCAGTATCTTTTCTAATATAGCCCTCCCACTACCATCTATCAAAATCCCTCAACCAACCAAGTAAGCTGTTTGCAGAGGGGTCAAAAGTATTGATGCTTATTACTAAAGTAGAAGCAGAAATAAAAGTATTATTACTCTGTTACGTGACACCTCTGCATCGATGCCATCTGGCCCTTTAACCACCGACAGCAGGGCAAGGTTGGCGAACTGTCTTGCATGAAATCACAAAGTAGAAATCAGCAGCTCATTTGTTACAGGATGATAAACCCCTACATTTTGGGCCACCATTGTCCTGAAGGACAAACAATGTTTTCAAATGTAAATCCGCCATAATTCGGTGAGAATAGGATGTTATTTATAACTAAAGTGGAAATAGGTTTGATTGAAAGAACTCACAATTAGCCAGAGGTGTACAGATACTTTGTTACCTTACATACCGTCTTTTCGCAACTATAAGGCGCATATAAACGTCTTTTTTTCCCTCAAAATGTGCGCCACGCCCTATAGTGCGGTGCGCCCTATGTGTGTTGTTGCTGTGGACGTTGTTGAGACCTCCATGAGAACGTCAAAGGGGGAAGTGTGGGCGTGGATTGTGTATAAAAGAACAGGTATGTGCTTTATGCAGAACATTGTTGTCTTAACAACCCTGAAAATGGCAAAGGGACACGCCTATGAAGCACAGTTTAAACTGATGGCTATCAGCTACGAAGAGGAACATGGAAATCAAGCGGACGAGATGAAAATTGAACATTTTCAAGGAGGTCCGTCGTGGTGCTTTCGTTTTATGCAACGGTGCAATTTTTCCATCCGGACCAGGACTACAGTAGCTCAGCGACGTCCGGCGGATTATAATGAAAAGCTGGCGAGCTTCCACTCCTACTGCAGCAAACACATCGCCGACAAACGCATCCAGCCAAGCCACATCACCAACATGGACGAGGTGCCGCTCACTTTCAACATCCCGGTGAATCACACGGTGGAGAAGAAGGGGACCAGCATGGTAGCGATACACACAATGGGGTATGAAAAGGCGTCGTTTACTGTTGTGCTTGGCTGCCACGCAAATGGACAGAAACTGCTGCCGGTGGTGATTTTTAAGCGAAAGGCTTTGCCTAAAGAGACTTTTTCAGCTGGAGTCGTTATTAAGGAAAAAGGTGAAAAGGTGGTTTTTTCCACACATCACCATCGCTGTTAATCTGTGACTCCATGCGTGCCCATCTCACAGCCGATTAAAAAAAAAAGGTGAAACAAATGAACGCTGTGCTTGCTGTTATTCTGGGAGCGCCCGGCAAGTTACGCCACAGTTTGCGGATGGATTGTCTGCTGGCACTGTTGTTCGAGCTTTCGCAAAAGCCGGCAACATTTCCGAGGAGCCGCACGGCACGGAAAGTGACTCTGACAGCGAAGAAGGGGAAATTGGCATGTCTGATTTAGCGCAGCTGTTTAATTCAGAAACAGAGGATGATGACTT